ATAATTTTGACAGCACTAATATATATATATATAAAGTTCAAGATAGCCTAAATTTTTGGATGAGGTTTAAGAACGGTAGAGCCAAGGAGAAATGTCTGCAGGCTTTCATAGTGTCCAACCACCAAGTTCAAGTCTTTTAACATGCAGTGGCTGCTCTTGGATAGGGAACGGTGTAGCCAAATATGGGCAGGATGGGGTAAAGCATTGTTGATCCCTCTGCTTTTCACAGATAAATTAGATGCATATTAGGCAGAAATACCACTGATTTTATTTGTCCAATAAATAACCCATCAATATTTTCATTTAGTCCTCACCGAGACAATTAAAACTCATGTATGTCTCATCATATTGTTGTTGTCTTATTGTCATAAAAAAAAATCTTTGTCAACAAAATGTTTTGGCCATAGTCATTGTTGACCAAAACAACACTGTATGAAACTTATTTCTCTATGGAGTCCCTTTCAAAAAAATCCTAAAAGACTTAAATTCAGAACCACATAAGATTTTTTCATGATGATAGAAAAAAGAAGAAGTTAAATCAGATATAATATCTCCTCACTTGTGAGACTTTCTAATCAGTTTAATTTCACATTACAGAGTGCCCAGGAACTGCCCTCGAACTTTCAATATCCCAACATTTGACCCTGATGGTGACAACGTCAGGTGCAGGATTCCCACTACACCTGCTACATATGAGTGTGCACTTTGCGGTCTTGTCAATGGTTTCTCTTTTGATCAGGTAAAAATCTATAATTCATATTCATATCTTACATTTTATTTTGAAGTCTTTTGGCATAATACTGAATGTTTGTGAAATAAGGGAGTGTAAAACATTTGCAAAACGAAAGGCCACTCTACACATTTCTACACAACAGTTATAAATTTGTGTCCCACTTAGAAAAATCTTTATGCAACTATTAACTAAAATGCTTCTAGGTTAGTTGTTGAAAAAGTAGATTGAAAGCAATAACAAAATTTTCTCCATGTTAGAATTCCTGCTCCCTCACATACAACCCAGGACAAAGCAGTGGATATTACCCTGTGGAGCTCGTGGTGGAGGACTTCCCCAACAAAGACATAACTCTGTCCTACTCCGATGGATCCTACACCATAAAGTGGCCCCAAACAATGACACGACGTAAACGCCAAGCCATATTAACCACCACATCTGCCCCAACAACCACCACATTTCCCTTAACAACCACCACATCTGCCCCAACAACCACCTCATTTCCCTTAACAACCACCACATCTCCACAAACTAATACTCCATCTGCCCCAACAACCACCACATTTTCCCCAACAACCACCACATCTCCACAAACTAATACTCCATCTGCCCCAACAACCACCACATTTTCCCCAACAACCACCACATCTCCACAAACTAATACTCCATCTGCCCCAACAACCACCACATTTTCCCCAACAACCACCACATCTCCACA